AAAAGGAGCAATGTCCCAATTCCTGCAGGATTTCCTGCATGGAACAGCTCAGAGGGAAGGAACAATGTCCCAATTCCTGCAGGATTTCCTCAGCTTGGGGAAAGGAGAGATGCCCCAATTCCTGCAGGATTTCCTCAGCTCGGGGAAGGAGAGATGCCCCAATTCCTGCAGGATTTCCTCAGCTCGGGGAAGGCAAGGTGTCTCAATTCCTGCGGGATTTCCTCAGCTCGGGGGGAATCAGAGATGCCCCAATTCCTGCAGGATTTCCTGCATGGAACAGCTCAGAGGGGAGGAACGATGCCCCAATTCCTGCAGGATTTCCTCAGCTCGGGGGAAGGAGAAATGTCCCAATTCCTGTGGGTTTTCCTCAGCTCAGGGACGGCAAGGTGTCCCAATTCTTGTGGGATTTCCTCAGCTTGGGGGAAGGAGAAATGCCCCATTTCTGTATGATTTCCTGCATGGAACAGCTCAGAGAGAAAGCACGGTGCCCCAATTCCTGCAGGATTTCCTCAGCTCGGGGGATGGAGAGATGCTCCGTTTCTGCAGGATTTCCTCAGCTTGGGGAAAGGAGAAATGCCCCAATTCCTGTGGGATTTCCTCAGCTTGGGGAAAGGAGAAATGCCCCAATTCCTGTGGGATTTCCTGCAGGAGCTCCCCTCTGCCCCGAGCCCAGGGAATCTCTGCTCTCCTCAGGCCCAGCAGAGCCACCGCCCCGCGCTGAGGTGTCCCTGCTCCTCTCAGGTGACACCGCGGGGTGAAGGCACTGAGGCAGCTCTGAGTGAGACCCGATGGGTGCTGCACCCATGGGCTCCGTGCCAGGCAAACTCCTCAATCCCCAAACCTCCACAGGGAGCAACCTGATATCACCACCATCACTTTTATTCCATTACCCTCCAAAAAACTCCCTCCGATTCCCAAATTTCCATTTCCTCTGTGAGGAAACTGCGATGATTCTTTTTTTTTCTTTTTTTTTGATTTTTTTCGGGTTTTTTTTTAGGCGTGGCTCACTGGGGCAGCTGCAGCAGCACGGATTGTCCCGAGGGCAGGTAGGTGATGTTTCGGGAACGGGAGAGTTGGTAGGCGATGTCCTCGGCCGCCTCCAGCTTGCGCAGCTCGATCAGCCCGTCCCCGGCCGTGGCCAGCGAGTTGGCGATCAGCTCGGCCGCCTTGGAGTCGCCCTCGGCTGAAATCACCGCTGCCTTCTTCTGCTGCTCCGCCTGCGGGGGAAAAATGGATGTGGAGGGACTGGGAATGGCAGTGGGGAAAGGGAAACGGATGTGGAGGGACTGGGAATGATAGCGGGCAAAAAAATGGATGTGGAGAGACTGGGAATGGCAGTGGGGAAAAAAAATGGATGTGGAGGGACTGGGAATGACAGCAGGGAAAAGGAATTGGATGTGGAGGGATGGGGAATGGCAGTGGGGAAAAGGAAATGGCTGTGGAGGGACTGGGAATGACAGTGGGGAAAAGGGAATGGATGTGGAGGGATGGGGAATGGCAGTGGGAATGATGGAAAAGAGAAATGGATGTGGAGGGAATGGGAAATGATGGAAAAGGGAAACAGATGTGGAGGGATGGGAATGACAGCGGGGAAAAGGAAAATGGATGTGGGGGAATGGGGAATGACAGCGGGGAAAAGGGAAATGGATGTGGAGGGATGGGGAATGACAGCGGGGAAAGGAAATGGATGTGGAGGGATGGGAATGACAGCGAGAAAAAAGGAAATGGATGTGGAGGAACGCGGAATGATGGAAAAGAGAAATGGATGTGGAGGGATGGGAAATGGCAGTGGGAAAAGGAAATGGATGTGGAGGAACGCGGAATGATGGAAAAGAGAAATGGACGTGGAGGGATGGGAAATGGCAGTGGGAAAAGGAAATGGATGTGGAGGGATGGGAAATAACAGCGGGGAAAGAAAATGGATGTGGGGGCATGGGAAATGACAGCGGGGAAAAGGGAATGGATGTGGAGGGACTGGAAATGGCAGCGAGAAAAAAGGAAATGGATGTGGAGGAACGCGGAATGATGGAAAAGAGAAATGGACGTGGAGGAATGGGGAATGATGGAAAAGGGAAACGGATGTGGAGGGATGGGAAATGGCAGCAGGGAAAAGGGAATTGGATGTGGGGGGACGGGAAATGATGGAAAAGGGAAACGGATGTGGAGGGATGGGGAATGGCAGTGGGAATGATGGAAAAGGGAATGGATGTGGGGGGACTGGGAAGTGGCAGCGGGAAAAGGGAAATGGATGTGGAGGGATGGGGAATGATGGAAAAGGGAAACGGATGTGGAGGGACTGGGAAATGACAGCGGGGAAAAAGGAAACGGATGTGGAGGAACGGGGGATGATGGAAAAGGGAAACGGATGTGGAGAGATGGGAAATGACAGCGGGGAAAAGGAAATGGATGTGGAGGGATGGGAAATGGCAGTGGGGAAAGGGAATGGATGTGGAGGGATGGGAAATGACAGCGGGGAAAAGGAAATGGATGTGGAGGGATGGGAAATGGCAGTGGGGAAAGGGAATGGATATGGAGGGATGGGAAATGGCAGCGAGAAAAAAGGAAATGGATGTGGGAACAGGAAATGGCAGCGAGAAAAAAGGAAATGGATGTGGAGGAACACGGAATGATGGAAAAGAGAAATGGACGTGGAGGAATGGGGAATGATGGAAAAGGGAAACGGATGTGGAGGGATGGGAAATGACAGCGGGAATGGATGAATGGCAGCGGGAATGATGGAAAAGGGAAATGGACGTGGAGGGACAGGGAATGGCAGTGGGGATGATGGGGGGAACGACAGGGGGAAAAGGGAAACAGACAAGGAGGAAACGGGAAATGACATTGGGAATGATGGAAAAGGGAAATGGACGTGGAGGGATGGGGAATGACAGTGGAAACGATGGAAAAGGGAAATCCTGGCAAGGCAAACTCTCAGGGGAGGAAAGCTCCCCCAGGAAATGATAATCCTGGAAAAGGAAACCTCTGGGAAAGGAAACCCCCGGGAAAGGAAACTCTTGGGGAAGGTAGCCCTTGGGAAAGGAAAATCCTGGAAAAGGAAAATGTTGGAAAAGAGAACACCTGGGAAAGGAAACCTACGGAAAAGGAAAATCCTGGAAAAGGAAATGCATGGAAATGGAAATGCCCAGGAAAGGCAAATTCTGGAAAAGGAAAATCTTGGAAAAGGGAACCCCCAGGAAAGGAAAATCCTGGAGAAGGGAACACCTGGGAAAGGAAACTCCATGGAAAAAATAAAGGGCAGTTTGTCTACTTGGGGGAAAAATGGCAATGTCTACTTTTCGGGGGAAAAAGAAAGGAAATTTGCCTACTTTTGGGGAAAAGCCCAAGATTCCCAGAAGAAGAGGCACACCCCAAATTTCCCGGAAGGAGCAGGAACACCCCAAATTTGTACCTTCTCGACGATGAAGCGCGCCCGCTCTGCCTCCTGCTGCGCCACCTGCTTCATCTCCACCGCCTCCGTGAACTCCTTCCCAAACGTCAGGTGGGTCTGGGGGCACAGAGTACGGGGGTCAGGGGGGAAACGGGACCGGTGGCACCGGGATGGGACAGGAGGATCACCCAGGGAAACGGGACAACTGGGGAATCCCAAATCCATCATGATCCCAGGAAATGTGGGATCCCAAATCCATCCCCATCCTGGTCAAGTGGGGATCCCACACCCATCCCCATTCCCATCCCCATCCTGGGACATGTGAAGATCCCAAATCCATCCAGGAAACGTGGGGATCCCAAATCCATCCTGATCGTGGGACACATGGGGATCTCAAATCCATCCCCATTCCCAAATCCATCCCCATCTTGAGACATGTGAAGATCCCAAATCCATCCAGGAAATGTGGGGATTCCAAATCCATCCCGAAAAAGTGCGGATCCCAAATCCATCCTGGACAACTGGGGATCCCAAATCCATCCCAAAAAACTGGGGATCCCAAATCCATCCTGGACAACTGGGGATCCCAAATCCATCATGATCCCAGGAAATGTGGGATCCCAAATCCATCCTGGACAACCGGGGATCCTAAATCCATCCCGGAAAACTGGGGATCCCAAATCCATCCCCGGAGCTGTGGGGGCGGGGAAAGCTCCAGAAACAAAGTGTCCAACTCCCTCCTGGCAGAAACAAAGTCACCTTCCTGTCCTGGGCAGGATCCCAAAAAAAACCCCAAAAAGGCAGGAGAGGGTGGGGCTCTGTGTGTGTGCACGGCTGATCACAGCATG